TCGAGCTTCGGAGATGGGAATGGAACACACTTCGGGGTTAATAAATCCGGGTTCTCCAGAACACACCGTGTATTGAAGTTCTAATTTAAAATTTCATTCAATGATCAATATTTACATTGTCCTCCAAGCTAGCCGCTCCGTCCATCCTACTCGCTACCCCTACTGTAAAACACTTCTCTGCTCCCTGTCTACATTTCAACGACCGTCCTCCTCCGCTCCCTATAACCGACTGCCCTCTCTTTACAAGTCCCCAGTGGGCATAAAAAAACAAGAAAATAAAAAGAGAAAGCCAAGGGTCGATCCCGGCATCTGTCCTACATTCGTATTTTTCGAGATGCCCATCATAACCCTTTTTAGGTCTTCAAGGCACACGAGCAGGGAACCTAAGATCCCTCCTGGCCGGTCTCCCGCAATGTCAGCCCATGCGTTTATGACACTAGGAGCAAACTGGCGACGTTAGGGACAATAGTGACACCCTAAGCCTAAGGAGGACAATAGTTGAATTACAACTAGACGGTCCCGGGATCGTATCTCGCCGGAGGAGCGTCTCTCAGGGTGTTAAACAATGCATAAGTTGTCCATTCCCTTAATTAAATAATTTTGGCGAGGGACGTACGGTTATAGTCTTTAAGTTCTGGGCTTTATCTCCTCTGAGTACAGAGCAGGGAAGTCCTCCAGTGAGGAGGCCATTTCAGACACCTAAGCGGAGTTGCGAATGTACTAGTATGCCTTAAAGTTACAGGGTACGCGGGTATGGACTGCCTTAAGACAGCCCAGTGACGATCTGTCGTAAACACAATATTGTAGCTGGGTGTTCCATAAAAGCCTCGAAATTTCTTGAATAACTGAAAGAATATAAGCTTTTCAGGAAGGATTCTGAACCATGGAGATGGTATCCTGTTAGTACAGAGCGAAATGAGAATAAAAGAGTATTCCCATTAACATTTCATGCGCCAATCATAGACGTTCAAAAGTTTACATAAGACTTACTTTCACAGAGTTGAAGATTTATTTCCCCACACGGCTGAAGACGGTGTCTTTATTCAGGGCACTTCTTTTCTCGCCCCTTTCTCCTTCAGGGAGCGTATTCTCTTCGTTTCGTTCGAGACTAAAACATTTCGATTATTGTAGTGTCACGTAACAATAGGCCTGTGCCACAAAATTAGAGAAAAAACGTTTCTCTGAATGTCCTATGTGAGAGACCGTTCGATACTTAAAACATTCCGCTTTTGAGTCTCAAGGGTGAAGACTTGACCCATCCATGCTATGGGTCTCAAAAGAATAAGACGATAGCAGATAAAGGCCGTGAGTCTCTTGCACTTAAAACGCATCTGGCACTGTGAACATGTGTGTGATTCATTCGTATCAGAGCTTGGACACTTCCTTCAAACATTTTATTTCGGCTTAGGGTTTCTCATGGGCCATTGCATCTGTTTAACCTTTCGGCTTAAAAGAGTAGCCACGGAACCCCAAATCAGTGCTTAAAGCTGCCACTGTGTAGAGGCTATATAAAACGGGTATCTTACATTAAAATTTAGACCAATTTCTGTACTGACTTGATATCGAAAGTAATTTCGATGTTTCTATAACTATTCCCTTTTGTTGTAGAAACAGGGGCGCATTATCGTAGCAAAGACCCCGGCCGTTAGATTGAATGTAGGGTTATATAGTCGTTGTCCCCCCGTCCTCACAAGCTCTCTTCGAGAGATGCACCTTAATATTGCCCTGCGCCGAACTTTGCGATCGAGAGGTTAGAATTCCAGAATATTCTGGTGGACATGAGTTTAAATCTCAATTCGGAGATCGGATATCCTGACAGGGACGTTCTGTGGTGTTCCTCAGATCCTCCAGATACGGGGATAATAAAAGAATTAACATTCTTCTGTACTTCTATAGTCTTCTGACTTGCGGGCCGAAGAAGCGGGATGCAGAAGGAAGGAACGAGAAAATATTGCAATGTAGCATCAGTTCAGAGCCTATTGGCCACTAATATACTATTCCACTTTCACAGCCACTATAGAATAAGCAGTGAATATTTTTGCTCAGGTTGTAGTCGCTGATCTGTGATGTTTACTGCGCCTGTTGTGTTTCAGGCTTTCTGCATCCATAGCAAGTCTGAGTCTCGTACAGTATTCGATTCAGCTTAATAGATTAAGGTAAAATTAATGAAGGAATGGAAACAGATGATTTTTGTAATAAAAGAAAACAATCACCTCAGCTTTCGAAGCAGCTAGCGTTGTTACCGACATCCACTTGTGCCCTTCATCGGCCGCACTTCCAGACTCCTGATGTCGTCGGTAGATGGGAGTCCTTTCCAAGTGGACTGCTATGTTACTAACGTACGCTTACACGCTCTCTAAACACGCGGCTAAGAGATTACTACTGGCCCGTACCCTTCTGAGAGCACTGATAGCAATTGAAAACACGAACCTTGTTGCAGGCGGCTAGAAGTTTTGTTACCAATCTATGAAAATTATAGGATTTGATGTTATCACGGCTCCCCTTACGAGGGCTTTTATCTTCTGGGATGTTAAAAATAGATCGCTGTTTCGGAAAAAGTTTGCTACTTGCTTCATTCTCGCTTCCTACCTGTTTTATTCTTCGACCCTAAAAGTGGTGGCCTCATGTTCCTCCGAAACGTCAGTTGATTTTCAACGGACTACACGGAGTTATAATGTACCAGGATAGGTCAGTCGGTATACCAGCGAGCTACAAACTGAATGGCCGGGGTTGAAATATCAGCGGGGGCAAGACATTTTTCTCGTCTTCACAGCGCCCAGACTGGTTCTAGGGTGCATCCACCACAGTTACTGGGGGGCTGTTTAACAGGGGTAAAGGGGCAATGGCGTGAATCTGATCCTTAACCTCCATCTATTCTCCAGGTCGAGAAGAGTCGAGTTATACCTTCACTCCTATACATGACAATGGCGCGGGGTTTAGTTAATTAAGCATAAGGACAGTTTTACTTTTCACACGGCGTTATTTCCAAGAAGAGACAACCCATGTGAAAGTCTTATTTGTATAATTTATAACTGAATGTTCTCTTAATGAAAATACAAATTAATAATAATTAATTAAATTAATTATTACCTAAATTATTTACATTGTAAAGTAAAGCTATCCCTGTAACAGGCCATGAAGGCCCATAGGGTTGTGAGACGTTGAGAGTCCCACATTATCTAGACAATCGGCTCAAAGATGGCGGTAAGGTTGTCAGCCCTCCGCGCCGGCCGCGCTTTACTCC